ATGTGTATAAGAGACAAATATTAGAGATGCCATGAGCAAGCCAATATGAAGTCACTCTCTTGTTCTCATGTCCTCATTATTCCTGACAATTTTATTACTGTTAAATAGAAAATCAACTCGTTGTTATATTGTTACTTTTACCCATCTCACACTGGAACTTTTTGCTCATCCTCTTCAAGGTTTGCTTTTAGGCTGGTACAGTTTTGCAGTTGTGATTCCTTTGTCTCTACTGTTTAGGTGCAAAGTCCTTGCAGTGGCTCAAAATGCTGAAACTACAAAGTAGGCGCCATGTATAACTTTGTACAGGATTTCGGGATAAAAATGGTATATAAATTTGCAAATGGTTTGATTACAACACATAAGCAACAACAGCACAGCCTGTTTTTATGTGATGTCTTGCAACTAACTGGACTATGGAAGTGAGGGTTTGAGCATAAACTCAGCCTGCTGAGTGCTGGGTACTTTCAAACTAACAAATGTGATGAGTAAAAATGGTGAAGCCACTTTGTTGCTAGCACATGGCTACATGGAATTACATTTTTTGTTAATATATATATAAAATCCCTATACTAAATTCTAAAACAAACCTTCAAGTTTTAGAGCACTTCCACTTGGAAACGCTCTGACTAGAATTCAGCTTCATTGGGGGTAAAAATGAGAAATTATGGTAAACGGGAAACAAAGTAGCTGAGAAAGATGGAAGTTTGCCATTTTCATGTTTGAGATGAATGTTTTTGCAGTGTATACATGCACCTGTCCTAACTCTTCATGTGTGTGTGTGTTAAATCATATGCATACAAAAGAAACGTGGATCATGTAAATTCACAGTTATCACAGCCTTTAAAGTGTCTAAGAATTTGAGTGACCAATACTTGCAGATGACCACTGGTAAATGGTCATCCTACATTGCTACGGTACAATTACTGCATCTTAACGAGTTTGCTTACCTGAAATAGCAGAGCAGTTATAATACTGATTACGTATTATATTATTGTGTTAATAAAATAAGGATTTATACAAAGCAGTATTTGACTACAACATTTAAATGCTATGTTACTTGGCACATTTAGTAATGATTGCTTAGAAATCTTAGCAAGTCCAGAGGACTTTTAATGAAAATACTGAAATGTCTGAAATTGTGTCTAACGTTTAATGTTTTTGGTCTACTCTTTCATATGCTATTCATCTACTATACTGTCCTATCAAGTAAGTGGAATTCCTTGTAAAGTCTATATTGCTAGTTTTGTGGACTGAAAAAATTTCTTTCCAAGCACAAATGTTAACTATACAGTATATATATATTTATATCTTTATATATTTATATTTATATAAAGTTTACTTACGTACTTTCATCAACCATATCAGGTCTACTTTTTTTTTTTTTTCCCATTGACAATAAAAGAGCAAGAATGCAACACACGTTTCTGTATCACTTTTTTCCTTTTTTCATAGACTAAGTTTTTATTATGCATGTAAAACTGTCAAGGGATTTGGTGTAAAAGGTAGCTTTACTCATATTCAGCAAGCAGCATGTTTTCAAGGCAGTTTGGAAGTAAGAACTAACGAGATGGTAAACATCTATCGAGTAGGTAAGTAAAACCAGTATCAATTGCGCTAACTTGAATTATTTTATTTTGTAACAGAAAGCCTTTACGCTCACACAGCTCAAATTGTCTAGGTAAAAACTGACGATTCTACTTGTTGCTTCCTGTAAGTGCCTTTGTAACTGCGTTTAAAACTACAGTTATGAGGAGGGTCGAGATGTTCTAGACTATTGTGCTGATGCCACTGTGTTTGGGCTTAGTGCTGGCTGAAGTGGAGGGAGGTGGTGGCGGTCCATGGTGATGCTGGGGGTGAGCAGAGTGCCCCGGGTGTGGAGGGGGCAGCGGCGGGTGAGGAGCATGGGTGTGCTGCGCGTGGGGGTGCTGCATGTACGGAGTGTGCTGGGAGTGCGCCGCGTGCTGGGAGTGGGGCCCGTGTTGGTGATACTGGTGCGAGTGCTGGATGTGCTGGGGAGGGTGGTAGTGGTGGTGGTGGTGGTAGGGCGGCGGGTTCTGCTGCAGGTGGCAGTACTGCGAGTGGTGGGAGTGCACCTGGGCCTGGGTCTGCCCCTCCGCGGGCCCTGCGTGATGCATGGCAGAAGGATGCTGTGAGTGCTGCTGATGTGGGATTACTGGAGGGTGCGGAGGTTGCTGTGATGAACCAGATGGTGGATGACCTTGGGAAGGAGGCTTTCCCCTTTTACTACCAAATAAGGAACCTAGGAGTGAGGAGGAGTTAGGCATAGTCTGGTGAGGGCGAGATGGACACTCTCGGGTTGATGTAGCTCTTCGGCGCATGTGAGGACTGCTAATGATGGACCCCTAAAAAGAAATTAATAGAAATAAAAATTAAAAAAATCTTAAAATGTTTAAAAGAAAAAGTTCACACTGACCCACAAACTCCTCCTTCAGTGTTCACATGGGTGGACTATGTTAAGTGTTCTAGGAAAAGTTTTATTTCCACCTTCTCTAAGTTGCCAGTGAGGCACTCGTGCCCTTCTTGGGGTATTTTAAGCATTAAATGTTTCTCTGTCAGTACTCTGATATCGAAAGCTATGACTTTAAATAAGAAAAATGTCACGGAAGAGTAATATGACATAAGCCCAAGGAGTGTGTTTTTAAAGGAAAAATACATTTTAAAATACTGTAAAAAATACCATATTTGTTTTTTTGCAACAAAAAATAAAACTACATTAAATTCAACCTAAATAGTTAAACACACAGCAGCAAATGTTACAGTTACAATTCAGATTTCAAAACAGTATTTTAAACTTTTTTTTTTAATAGTAGTTTTCCACTACTATATGCCACAGTGCTGCTTCTCAAGCCTACCTCTGAATTATGTGTTAAATGGAACCATACCACTTTTGCCACTAAGCTTTCTATGTGATTGTGTTCTTCTGACCTGGGTCAAAAGTTCTCTATTATTTAGTCTGAAATGGTGTATTTAGTTTCCGGAAGTTTGGGGTTTGTCTTTTTTTAAAAGAGTTATGGAACACAACAGTACTTAGGCAAAGTGTGCTAGATTTAAACTGCAATCTACCTAAAGCAAACATAAAAAAAAAAAATTAAAAAAAGGAAAAAATCTGCAAGCTGAATTCAGAGACATGAACAGTATATATAAATGGTTTGAAGATGAATGAAATCTCATGAAATCCACATTGAATTCACCTATCTTAGTATTTTTTTCCTCCCATGCCCTATCTGTGCAATTCCATGGTGTCATGACTGCATACATTTAGCAATTTAACTTGAAAATAAGCAATGGGAATGGTTGAGCATGAAAGTCAATAGTCGTAGCTAAATATCAAACAGCAAGAACAGTGTACTTCGTAACAAAGAGCAAGTGGGCTTTTAAGCTGGGACCAGACTGAAATGGTGGCAAAGGACACATCGTATTCATTTAACCATGCTTGCAGGAACAAAGGGAACAAGGTTAGCTCAAACCAAAAATGGCATTGGTCTAAAACAAGCTGTCAGTGCTTTTTAAGCTGGAAGAATACCGAGTGAGTAGCCTAGGCATGCATTTTATTTGAGGCAGGCAGGTTATATGTTAGAAGAAAAAAGAGCAAAAAAATATGTATATAAAAGAAAGGTTTGAAATGCACATCATCACATCCAGCTAGACATCAGTAACTTCCTACTTACTTCCATATTGCTGTCTAGCGATCCTGCACTGCTGCGTCGCCCACGCTTGCCTGCCCAGGACATGCAACACCATAGATTAGAGACTGAGACAAGACCCGGGTGAAAAACAGCTGCTTTCCCTGAATCACTAGAGGAGCCTCTAAATGCAACTAGAGGGGCTGCAGGGGGGTTAACATTGCACTGGACTGGTACAGCACCTACTAAGGCAGAAACTTGGATTTTTAAGGCCATTAGTTCTATTAAGTTTCTGTACCTGACTAATTTTTAAGAGGCATTGTTGTTGTGAATTAACTATCATTAGCGGGGTGTGATTTTTTATTTTGTACAACTCTTAAAATACATGTAATTTTAGCATTTATGTTTAGTAGCATGGTTATGATGTTGACCAGCAACAATTTTAAATTGTTCAATTTCCTGAAATCTAATTTCTATCAAGTTTCTTTCTTTAAAGAGACTCATAGCATATATATGTATATTTCTGGGGTGGTATTAATTTAAACACAAAATATTGGCATATTCTGAACCTCAGTGTAGGGCAGTGGTGAGGGGCATTGGTTTCATAATTTCATTTTCAGTTTTTGATCCTCAGTGGATTTCATATAATCTTCTTTCATGAGGTTTAAAAAAAACTAAACTTAATTTTTTATCAATAAATCTGGAATCTGTCATGACATTATGGCTAGATTTCGTTTGTTTATCTGTGCAGTGCTTTATCTAGAAGAATGAGGGATTTCTTCTCCAGTATTCTCAAATTGCCAAAGATAGTTGCCTAAAACTACACATGAAACACCAGATTGTTTGCCTAAAGAGCCAGAATACGTCAGTGGCTATATATAGGATACAGGATCTCAGATTTTCTTTCTCATTTCACAGGAGAGAAAATAGCATATGGCTGCAGGGGAAATAAGTATTTTTTAAAAGATAGCTTGGTGAGCATTGCTTTGCAAAGTTTCAAATACTTCACTGGCAGGATGTGTAAACAAAGCTAGCCTTTGAAGAGTGGTCAGGTTCTCAAAGCTTCTCTAAAATCTGAATGTTTTTATAAATCTACATTTTCTCAATGCTTTCTCCTTTCTTTCCTGTGAGGCCAAACACAAACTCCACTCTGTAGTACATTCCTGTCTTCAGAATCTTTAACAGGTGGTTTTGGAGAGGAAAGTGAAGATTTCAGCATCACTGAACCTGTAAGCCACATCTTTAGAAGCCCAAAAGGCACACAGTATGAGAGCCAGAGAGAACTTTGGGACTGTAAGTG